TTGGAGGGCGACCGCGCTTTTTGGGCAAAGGAGAGGCAGCAGCGACATCAGCCATAGCCGAAATAGATGCCGTAGAGGACTTGACTTGTCTTAATCAATTGCTAGGATCGAAAAGAGAGTGAAGAAATGAGTCATTCATAAGAGAAGAGAAAAAGATGTAAAAAAGGACCAAACAACTGAGATTTGGTCAAGGCGCGGAAAATGGGCAGGAGCAAAGACCGGCGCCTTTGCCGTCTTCCCGATTCGGCAAGTGGCAGTGCTTTCCCGAAAGCGGTTAGCTTAAGATATACCAAGGTTTGATCATGTGAGGCTTATGTAATCATTTTTTAGAGGCTTTAGTTACCTACAACCAAGCGTCATTTGGACTTCGTATATCCTATGTAGATGTAAGGTTCTGAAGGAGACAGATATTCATTAGACAAAGGGAACATGCGAGATGGGCTGCTGCATATCTCCGTCCTTCGGGGAATTTCTTTCATTTCCGACAAGTTCATCAATCATATGGGGGAAATGCTGTCAATAAGGCCAAAAAATGAAATGAACGCAGCGGGAGTGTAATTTTAGTCTAGGAGTGCAGCAGGGGAGATATAAACAAAAAGAATCAAATTGATATAACATAAAAAACCGGAATAGGATACGGGTATGTACAAACGGGCAAAGGGAAAAAGGCTTCAACATTGGTGTTGAAAGAATTATCTGAAAGCAACCATGAGAATGTAGAACAAAAACGCTGGAGTGGCCGCGATGAGCGATGATGAGAACAGAGGACAGTCATCCAAACAAGGGAAATTTGCACACGATTCCACTGGCAATCGAATATATCAGATATCAGATAGATGTTCAAATCTCATACCGTTGCAGCAACCTGTGCAGCTTTATCATCAATTGCTGGCTCTGGAACTTTTTCATTGTCCATGCTCACAGCCGAAAGCCCCTTGGTGATGGAATCCACCCTCTCCACCGTATTCACCACTGTTTCTATTTCTTTCTCTGCGTCACCAGCTCCATCTCCAGCGACAGCACTAGTACCAGCACCAGTACCAGCACCAACACCAGCACCGCCATGGCCATCAACACGCTTTTTCCGCGGAATGACAATCGTCCTCCTCCGCTCAACCCCATCGACACTCCCAAAAACCTCCACCGTCTCCCCATTCCATACAACAGGCCCCCTGTAAAATCCCTCCCTCGTATCACCCAAAGCGGTGTCATTGGTGGCAGGAATGTCTTTATCCCCCCTCTGCCCAATCTGTGCCAGAGCGCCTACGAGCTCCTTCGCCTGTTCATCCAGGGATGGCATGTCGCCCCAATTCCATTCCAGCTCGCCGCCATACTTTTTGGGGATGTTGCAGGGTTCCATGAAGTTGCGGAGGGTGGAGTGTACTTCGGATGCGGAGAGGATGAAGATCTTCGATGTTGTTACTGGATCGAACCACCGTTTTATCCAACCCCAGACGGTGGGGAAGAAAACAGGGGCGCCGATTATCTGGGTTCATAGATAGGATGGTTAGTTGGGATGTTTTTTCTTTTTTCTTTTTTCTTTTTTTTTTTTTTTTTAATTTCTTTATCTTATATAATGAATGAATGGTTTCTCCATCCCTGTCTTGTGCCAAACTTGACAGTGACTGATTTTGTCCAAGTGCTCTGAATTGTGGTTCATATGACAAGTGAAAGGCGAGAGTCGATGGGAAAAGGTAAGGGTGAACCCAGCATGACACAGGGACAATTGAATAAGAAAAAAAAAAAAAAAAAAAAAAAAACAAAGGGAATGAACATACAAATATTCTATCCAAAGTCTCGGGATAATGCGCCGTCGCCAACGCACCCGCATCCTGCATGTGTCCCTTCAAATTCCAAAACTGCTTCAACCCCACGCCCTCAATATCTACAATATTCACCGTATTCACGATCGGGGACTCCGGATTCGGCCGATCCAGAGCGCTACACAGGGGCATCACAAACCGGCTCTTGTTTTCGTACAACGCGAAAAGACGGAGGAGCCTTGCGGGCACCGTGGAAGATTCGTGTGTTGCGGCTGTCTTTCCCGACGAGATAGAGGATGAGTAGGCGGTCATATTTTTGCTGTTTAGGTCCTTGATCACGTAGACAAAGATGGGGATTCCGCGACGGTCGCGGCGGCCGGTCCATTGCGGGTACTGTAATTTTATGGACCCAGGGGACATGGTTAGCAATGGAGCGATTTATTTTCATAGATTGGATTAAACCGGACGAAATGAGAATTCGATTGGAATAGCAAAAGGAAAGGAAAAATTTATAGATATGAAAACGTGGGTATCCTGACCATTTTCCGTGCCTCATCATAAGCATCGATATCGAAGTTTTCATATAACTCATCGATTTGGTTCGTCTCGCGCCATTCTTCTGTCGCTTGGAACTGGGCAACGGCAGCAGGCGCATTGAATTTACGCGCACGAAGGTATCGCCTATATGATGGTAGACACGAAAACTATGTTAGTCCATAGCTCTTTTGTATTTGAAAAATCTTCCGACCCAAACCTCCCCATTCCGAAAGTAATTCTCCGAGACAATAAAAAGAGAGTCCATTAAAACAACTTCCGCATTCCTTCACCTCCTTTTCCTTCGCCATGGGTGTAGGTGTAGGTAGGTAGTAGGTAGAGCATACAGCAAAGTAGAATCATCGTGGCTGGCGGGATTTTCACCATGCGCTTCCGTATAGAGCTTCTTCTCTATCAACTCCGCCTTGAGGCTCTGCAGTGCTTCGGACTGTTGCGGGGAGAGGTGGTTCTCAAATCCCAACAGTGGATCGAGCTCATCGTCACGGTTCCCTGCAGATGCATGATTGGCCTTTGCTGAAGCGGCCTCACGGGACTTCGTTTTGGTGAGTGGTGGGTGATGTTCGGGATGTCCATTTATGTGCGAATGGGACTGGGAGTGGGAATTGGAAAGCGAATGGGTGCTTTTTCTGGAGTGCCAGCTTCGGTTGGACCGGTGGGACGGTATTCGTGAGAGGGTCATGGTTCTTTTTACTTATTTACAAGCTTTGTCTCCCTATGCTGTTTTCTTTTCTGATTGGTATTCTCTTGGTTTATATTAGGTTTATTGTTAGTCTGTAGTTGCGAGGTAGCTGACCAGATGTATCAGAACTGGCCGATGAAACAGGAGGTTGAAGGGTATCTGGGAACAATCAAGAGAGAAAAAACAAAGAGAAATCTATCCAGAAAAGAGAAGAAAAGGGGGATAAGAAGGAGAAGAAGCAGAAAAGGGAAGAATCGGTCGTCCAGAATTCTACATGGTCCTGGTCTCTGTCAGCAGGGCTGAGTAATGGGAGATATAGTTAACTATAACTAACCTGTTAACTAGTTATGCGTTCCCGGCGTCTTTCGTAGGAGATTTTTAGCAAAGATCCTAATCTCAATGGCAGCCCCGTCTTTTAGCTGAAGCACGAGGCTGGACTGCGGCAGAAATGGCTGCATTTAGGCCGCTCGATTGGCTGCTGTGCCAAAGAGCTAAGCACGGCAAACGGTGCCGGAGGGTATGTAAGAGACTTCAATAAAAAGTGAGATGGATAAAGGCACCGTAATATAAGAGCACAAAAAGAATGAAGCATTTTTATGTCTTTCACAATTAATTATTGTCATTCGGTGTAATATGTCTTAACTACTTTTTAAGCCTGATGGAGAAATTTAGATAGGGACGGGGATAGATACCCCGAAATTATACGGAAATGCTATGGAGGGTCCTGGTCGTTCCGAAGGGTTCAACAGGGAACCCCAATTGCGCCAGAAATTCTGCTGAGATGTTGATATGAATCAACGGTGTGTCGGACATTATTGTTAGACAGTCTAATAATAGCCGTAAGCATATTTTGAACATGGTTCTTCGAATCTTTCTGTAGTTCCCTGCGAAACGTAAACGATAATCAGCGTCCTCACTCATCTGTCAAGTTGTCGTCGTGGCATCCTGAGCTCAGGGTATATTTCTCTCTGATCCCTTGTAAAATACCCAATTCTACGTCGCCAAAATACAAATCCCCTTCCACAATAACTCCCCCCACTTAATACATCTCTAATCCTCCGTCAGATCTCCATACTCCCACATCCCCTTCCGCCCCTCCTTAGCCTCCTCCTGCAACTTTTCCAGATACGCCAACGTCTCCCCCGCAGACCGTTCCCATGTTTTCAATTTGCGCGGAACCATCGCGAGACCCTCACGAATCACATCAGCATTGATGCTTTGCTTGAGACTCTTCGACTCCGATGGATCCAGCAGAGTGACATACATCGTCCCTTCAGGCGCTGTATAATCAACATTAGCAACCAACTGCCGGTCAAAGGTCCGTTCACCCAGATACTCCACTGCATCCTGCAGGTACTCAGCAGAGACAGGAAATTGCAGGAACGAGAGAACCGCATCAGACGCCTGTGGCTTAACTTTCTGCGTGGAAAATTGGGGTTGCGTCAGTGGTCGCAGACGGGTCCAGGGGACTGTTTCCGAATTGCCGTAATCGATGTAGACAACGTCAGACTTTTTGGCGTCCCGGTCATTTCGCCGGATCTTGGCACGGTACCATTCATTATCTTCACTGAAGCAGGCAGCGACTAGGTCTCCAGCCTTGGGTGGGCCACTTAGCGGCGCATCATTGGCCTTATTTAGGTGGAAGGCTCGGAAGGCGTTCATCATCTCGATGAGTGCAGTGGTGCCCGCGCCGATTTGCTGGATTTTTAGTTTCCCTGTTTCGTCGACGTTTGTGATCATTACGTCGCGATAATCCTTCTTTCGCTCGAGGGCATCTGTGCCATCATCTGCACCATTGATTGCGCTGAGTGAATTGTCCTCGTACTCTTCGAGATCTTTACTTGGATCCCAATCATGCCATAGGCCCTTCCGTGAGTCTTTAGCTTTCTTTTCCGCTGCAAAAAGCTCCGCAGCATGCCCGCTTTGCTCAGCAGAGTAGGCGTGGACAGTAGCAAGGCCCTCTTCAACGAGAACCTTGGCGAAATTTTCTCTGTTGACATATAGGCTGCCGATGAAACCGCCAAAATTGTCAGTGGTATCTACGTCAATTTCGACATCACGCTGCATGCATCTCCGATAGGCAAAGTCATGGGCTTCTTGGCCAAAGGGTTCTGAAGTCTCTCCTGGGTTTCTTGCTGATTTCGGCGCACGGATACCGGCAAGCACCAGAGTGAGTTTGGCATTATCTTTTGGGAATAAGATGGTGAATCTCGAGCCAGATTTTACAAAATCGACTACACCAGGAACCTTCCTCTGTCGTTGCATCACAGAGGCCTGAACCTTAGCCTTTTGTACACTTTCAGAGTAGTCCTGTGGTGTTCTTGTTGTTGGTGGTTTAGAAGACCACATTCCCTTTCCTTCCTTCTGAGAAGTTTCTTCCGCTTGTAGTAAAGCATCGTATTCAGGAGAGCGATCGTCATCATCCCGACGATGTCGGATGACAGAAGCGTAACCGGACTGCACGAGGAGCAATGCCACGTTCGTATTTCCTGATATAACTGTAGCAACCTCACGTTCTTCAAACCCTTCTGATGCAGGTCTTTTTCCATCAATCTTGACTTTGACGTGTTTACCAATGAGCTTCTTGCGTAAAAACTCCTTGGCTTCCGCGATAAATGGCGCCTGCTTGGGGTCGGATGGTTTTGGTTGCCGGACGCTGCTGAGGCTTATTTTCTTCTCATCTTTTCCAGCCTTTGACCGTACGAAAATCGTATCTGCACTAAACACGCGACTAACAACGAAGTCCGCTTGGGCGGCAGCAGACCCTCCTTTGGGGGCAGCAAACCCGGTAAACAGCCCTTTCCGAGCTTCTTTAGCCGCATTCTCAGCTTGTCGTAAGGTAGCCATTTCTTTCCCAATCATAGTAGAGTGGTAATCTGCACACCTTGCCAGTCCAGCCTCTAGAACGAACTTGGCAATATTGCCATTGGGATGGAGAACGTTGGCAATAAGCTGGTTCTGCGGGTTCACACCAAGCAGTGAAATCTTAACCTTCCTCTGAAGCAGTCTGAGCTCCACGAATTGCTGAGCCTGTTCTCCCAATGGTTCACCTGGTATTTCCGTACCATCAGCATTGGTCCGTTTTGTAGCTGGAGCACGGATTCCCGCAATAACAACCAGGGTCTGAAGATGTTTCTCTGGAGAGAGCAATAGTCTTATCAACAAACGGTCGCCACTAAGCACCTTTTCCACAACTGCGTCGATCTGCTTCCCTTTCTCACTCTCAACTAATGCCTTCGGATCTGCCACTTCGTAAGCTGACTCGATGTGCCCGCCAGTCGATGCCCAGAGCCCTTTTGATTCCGTCCGAGCACGGCTTTCGAGACCTCGCAGCTTGTCCAATAGCACCACAGTATCCTCAGACTCTTCTCGCCTGCTCACATCATCGCGCAATTTAACCCATCCCTCTGCCAGGCAGATGTCTGGTAGCTCCTGGTTATTAGGGAGCTTCACGATACCGTATTCCCGTTTCGTAGTGGGGACGGTGTAGAGCACCTGGAACTGGATAACCTTGCCGACAAGCAGCTCACGCAGGAATTCTCGAGACTTAAAGGCAAATGGCTATGGGTACGAATTGTGTCACATTAAAAAAAAAACTAGAAGTTAGCGAAGAATTGGAGAGATAATGGCCATATGCGGGACGGTTGAGGAAGCAGTAACTAAAGGAATGAACGTGTAAATGGGGCATTGAAAGAGGGATCTCTCCTGCGAGGGATTGAAGCTTACCTCGTCACCTTCTCTACGTAGCCGCGGGGCAGAGGCGTAGGCCAAACTCAAAGTCCGTTCCTGGCTGCGGTTGGTGACATGAGTCAGGATGAGAGTGTCGCCCGACAGAATGCTCTTGACACGGGCTTCGAGAAGAGGCATCGTGAGGGTTCAGCGATAGGATATACTTTTAAAAGAGAAATGACAGATAGACTATGGTATAAAGAGAATAGAAAATTGAAAACGAGGAGAATAGGTGAGGAGCAAAATGTGAGAGAGGTGAAGTGTTTAAAGTGTTGTACTGGCCAGCTTGACAGTTTTGTGGGGTTTGGTGGATTCGACCAGAGCTTTTTAGGTTCACCGCAACCGGTTCTATAAAAATATTCAATTAGATATTACTATTATTATTGTTCACTTTAAATGAGATTTAAAAGTACAGATTACATTCACTGATAAGGAATATCTTTCTGAGTATTACATGATATAGAGGACACTGACATGTCATATATAAAATCCCTGATCTGGCAGAATCTGTTGATTTATATGTATAAGAAGTTCAATTATTTGAAAAGTTCACAACTTCTTGACATTTAAAAAATTCAGTGAAGAGTGTCTGAGCTATCAAGTTGTGAAGAGTTATTGACAAAAAATAAAATATTAAAAGGAACAGCATCAAGTGAAAGAGACAATTTGATTATTTATATGTTAAAGTGTTGATCTGATAGAAATTCTACTGCATATATCAAATAAAAGTTATTGAATTAGTTATCAGTCATAAACTACATTACTAAGTGATCAGTTACATGAGCAGCCTCAGAGATTATTGAAAAGATTTTTATCAAGTTTTTGCATCATGAAATAAATGTTAATTATAATATACCATGCAAGATCTTGATAAATAAAGTTAATCTTATAAAAACCACTGTTCAGCACTTTATTAAGCAGTTCCAAATTGTTAATACAAACACCAGAGTAATAGTCTTTAGCATTTTGTTTAAAGAAAGTGCTAAAGCTGTATTCACTAACACATCTGTTACTTTATGAATTCATTTATTAAATTTTATAAGATCTAAAAGTCTTTATTTAATAATAATGTTAGAGATTTTTTACTTTATGAACAAGGTCAAAAAGTCTTTGCTTTGAGAATAAAATTAAAAAGTCTTCACTCTGAGAATAAGATCAGAAAATCTTTATTTATAAAATAAAATCAAAAAGTTATTATCTTGAATACAATATTATAAAGTCAATTTAGAAAATTAAAGTATTTAAAAATTTTTCTTTAATAAAAAAAGAAAAAATATATATTATAAATTTTTTAAATATTTATTTATAATAAAAATTTTCACTGATATTATTAATATTATATTTATAATATTAATCTTTAAAAATTATTATAATAATAAATTATATAAATAATAAAATTATAGCAGTTATTAAATAAATTAAATTTTAAAATATTTTATATATTTATTTTACTATATTTACTTTCTTTAATAAGTTTTTTAAGAAAAATAAATTTTATTAAATAAATATAAATTTAATATATTTATAAGTTACTAAATAAAAATATTTTTAAAAATTTTAATATTGAAAAATTATATATATTTAAAAAATATAATTTAATATATTTTTTAAACTTTATATATTAAATTAAGATATTATATTAATTAAATAAAAATTTTAAAAAATATTATTTTTAAAACTATTTCTTAAAGTTTAATTATAAATATTTGAAAATTGAAAATTAAAGTTAAAATAATATTATTAAAATTTAAATTACTAAATTAAAATATATTATTATAAATATATTATTTATATAAATATTAAATTAAATTTATTTAATATATTAGAAAAATATTTAAAAAAATTTAAATTAAAATAAATATTTTTAAAAACTTTAAAAAAATATTATTTTTTAACTTTATAAAATATATATAATGATTAAAATTAATTATTAAATTTAAATATAAAAAATAAAAATTATAATAAATTTTATTTTTATAAAAATATTAAATTTATTAATATATATCTTTATTAATAAACATTCTAAAAAAATACTCATATTTATTAAATATAAAAAATAAATAAAAAAGAATTATTTTTAATATATTTATATAATTTAAAAAATAAATTAAAATATTTAAAAACTATTTTTATTAATATATTTTAAAATTAATTTTAATTATAAAATTATACATTTAAAATTTAAAAATTTTTATATTAATTAATAAAATTATTACTTTAGAGTTTAATATTAAAAACATTTACATATTTTTTGATAATTAAATAATACTAAAAAAATTTTAAAATTTAAAATTTAAAATAATTAAATAAATTTTAAATTAATTCAAAGAAAAGTAAAAAAAATAATTTAAAAATTAAAGATATTTAAATTTATTTATTTTAAAAATCTATTTATATAAATATATTAAAAAGTAAAAAATAAATATAATAATAAAAATTAATATTATAATTTAAAAATAATTTAAAAAATAATTTTTAATCTTATATTAATAAATAAATTAAAGAATTATATATTAATAATTAAATATATTTTTTAAAAAAATAATTAATATATAAGATATAAAATAAAATTAAATTAAAAATTTTTATTAATAAAATAAAAAAATTTTTCTATAATATAATTAAAACTTGAATATAAATATTTTTTTAAATTTAATATTAAGTTAAAAAAAGTTTTAATTAATTTATAAAAAAATATATATATTTTTTAAAATATATAATTGATAGATATTAAATTTAAAATATTACTTTATTTTTTATATTTTTAATATTTTATTACTTTTTTTAAAAAATTTTAATTTAAATTTTTAAATTTTTTTAATTTATTTTAATAAATTTTATTGATTTTTATAAAATTTAAAATATATAAACTTGTTTTTTACTCTATATCTATTTATATATTATTTTATTTTGAGATAAAATCAATAATTATATATATTAATTTATATTTATAAATGAAATCTATAAAATATTTAAATTCTAGTTTAATTAAATAAATATCATAGTTTTTTATTATTTTATATAAAAACTAACATCTTGATATAGTTTATTGATAAGAAAAATTATTTATATTTTTGTAAAATTAAATTAAATAATTAATTCTAAATTTCTTAAAACAAAAGTTATATAAGAAATTTATAATTCTTTATCTACTAAATATTTAAATTATAAAGTTGTATATAAATAATATCATTTAAGAATTTTACTGATGTAAAATATTAAAAAAAAAATATTTAAATATAACTTTGAAATCGACATGTTATAAACTATACAGTTGAATTCATGCTGTGGAATCGTATGACCTCTAATTTTCTCCAAATTATCAATGAATTGGTGCATTTGTCTGAGAAAAACGTTCATCAGCGCAGCGGGTTAAGAAGGTTTAATCCTAGTTTATCTCATTGCTCTGGAGATCTAGGATTGAAATGTTCCTACAGAGTGGACATAAGAGACATTGAAGGTAAGGCCGTACTTTTGGTTGATGATGATGATGATGATGATGATGAAAGGTTGGAGAAGGTAACCTGTTGTGGAAACAATATTAAACTTAGCCCATTTAACTTCTCAAAAAAGGAGAGTATTTTCTATAGAATTTTATAGTCAGAGGCTGACTAGAATGTAGGAATCTCGGAAAAATCTCTTTTGATCTCTGGACACCGTCTTTGAGATGCTGGCTTTTGCATTTGAAAACATTGAGATACGGGTGCTTCTATCAGTATTGTATACTTAACAAGTCCTAAGATTTTCTGATAAGATGCATGCTTCATGTCATACTGCAGTAAGTGGGGTGTAACTATAAAATTGCCAACCCACGGAAGAACATGCATCGTGTGCAACCGCAAGATGCATCCTCTTCTGCACTCGATTGGGCTCTCTGACAGGATCATCGATTACCGCTATCGGGATCTCTAGGGCTCAGTTAGCCCGGTTCTCAGGTTTCACATACAAAGTGTTCGTGATGAGAAACGAGCCCGAAATCTGTTCTGCATATCTCCATTGTAGAGTGTATATAAACATGCGTACATCGCAATCCTGATATCCAAACCATCTTGAGGTCGTAGGACTCCCTGCGAGGTTCTTCCGCCTCGCCATATGAATCCGCAGCCTTGGGTTTGCTGAGGATGGGATAGATGGCGGGGTTGTCCAAAGTAAAGCATCATGGAGCTAGCTACTGGACGGCATTAAACTTTCTTTGAATGATTAACCGGATTAGTTTGGTTTTTGGCTGCAGCGAAGGGATGCTCCAAAATTGTGGATGGCCCGCAATGAAAGAGGGGCAATTCTCACATTTCAACAGCGGTATTTCGCTCACAATTCCTTCCTACCGAGGTTCCGAAGCTGAAGTGAACAATATCAATTTTCCATACACGAAATTCTGGAGCGTATCATTCGCGTAACATTCAGCCTGTAGGAATTTTTTATACGTATATATTCGAATAGGGATGAATATCCATGGATCCAGTTTAATAACAAAAATTGGTAAGTAACAACTGACCGATGAAATGAACGAAAACGAAAGGCCACCAAACATCGGAAAACGCCCCCCCGTGCTGCAACTATGCACCACTACCAACAGATGCTCATCTCAACGAAATGACTCCAATAATAACCTAGTAGAATAGTGGATATACGAAGAACTGAGCTGAATACCTCCCACAATTCGTAGTTGGAATTAGTGAACCTCTAATTTAGGTGTTGGACAAACGAGGGTTTGAATCGATGGGTACTTTAACGGAAGGAAATAATACGCGGAGAGAAATAGAAGAGGGAACGGCGATGAGCATCCATTATTCAATTCGTTATGCTGTACCCCCACTTCTTTTTTCCGTGACGCCCTATTCATAATTGCTCGGATAAAGGAAAGTCATCACTATCCGAACTGATACATATCATTGTGTGTCATATATGTATACAAGATCTCTTGCTGAGGGAACTGAGGATATGGCATTGTGGGGAATGAAAGGTCTGGAATCTGCGCAGTGTTTTGAGAGGACATATGAGGTTCCGTGGAAGAGTGGTGATCTCCATGTGTTGGCATATCGATTTTTCCCTCGCCTTTATCATTGTTTTCAAATGTGGGTCCGGGTTTCGTGTTTGTAGTGTCATCGGGGGAAGACTCAAGATCGCAGCTCGGGTTCTTCAGTATCTGCTTTATCCGATCCGTGTCAAGATTGCACAGATTGAAAACTTTCTTGAGAACTTTGCGGACGTTCTTTGCGACTAGGAATGTCTGCTCTAACTCTAGGAGGGTTTTTACGCAAATGGCCAAGTAGGAGTATTCTTGGCTCACGTCGGTAGTCTTGTGCCGCTCCGTGATGTCAGAAATAAAAATTGTGCTAGCCATTTCAATGATGTGCAGGCCTACTCCGCTTAGGGTAGTCGCGTTTCTATGATAGGCCCGGTAGTCTGTGAGGTATGTGGTGATTTGGATGGCATGTGCTATACAGATGCCTCGAAACTTGTCCGCTCCCGGTAGCTTTTGCGAGTCCTCTTTTCCAAAACCGGCAAGGGGGCGGTATAGGACGATGATAGCTGCACAATATTGCATGCTAAGATGCAAGAGGAGAGTAATGTCAGTTTCTTGTGCTCTGTTTCATTTTAAGGACGAAAGGATATCCATACTGCAGAATAGCAATTGAAGGAAGCCCATCACTCTTGTAATGTAGCTGAGGGTCCAAACGACGATACCAAGTGGTAAGTTGATCACTTAGAGTATTGATTTTTGCCGTGGTGGGTTCATATTTATTCCTAGAGCGAGATTAGCTTTCGATCATATAGTTTAATGTTTCAGATACAAGACGTACAAATACTCGACGACGAATCCGACCAGCTCCAACAGAGAGACCCAAGCACCAGCGATAAGATAGTGCAAGGGTAGTATAACATCCGTACTCGGTAGTCGAGCGATAGTCACACTTTCATCCAGTCTCAAATAGGGGGCGCGACCAAGATACAGGCTCCAAAGTCTACATATGGCACGCAAAACAATCAGTAATTGTGTCTAGGTAGATCGAGATCGAGGGATAGGATGCATACCGATCGAAGGCATAACAACCCCAAAAAGTAATTTGGCGTACCTCCATTTCAAGTTGTGTAAAATTTTCCTTTGACACATCGCGGTGAAGGCCCATGTCAATTGCTAGGCGACAAGCAGCCGTTGTTAGTGACAAACCCTTCATGTCGTCGGCAAATGAACAGTATATAACGGATAGCAATAGCAATGATTGTATCGTTGTGATCCGAGGGGCTTGATTTCTTTCCTCCTCAAGTAACCTCGAGGCTTCAGCAAATAAACATTGCCGGTCGGCCATTGGAGGTGCTTGTCTGCTACCGGGCATCCTAATGGGTGGCAGAACCATGGCACGTATTTTTGGTCGAGAAGATATTCTTGCCGCGCATGCCATGATGCAGTAAAGAAGGGCTTTACTGTAAAAGTTTGTTTTCCCGGCTGCCATATCGCGTTCGAAGGCGGTCTGATGGAAGACCTGTAGCCCCGTATGTTGGTATTTCCAATATAAGTCTAGCAAATACTTTTGAGTGTCTGGATCAACCTCAAAACCACCGCTCTGAGACGATCCTGCAGTCCCCTCTTTCCAAGCCTCAACAGAAGACCAGACCTCATTCTTATCATCCTCCTTGAGAGTCAGGTGCAAGCTAGATGTTGGACCAGCATATCTCGGTGTGCCATCGAGTTGATATCTACCATCACAGAGACAGGCAATAATATTGCCAGGAGGTGTCTTGGGGAGTGACGACGGATGGTAGCTAGGAAATTGATTGAGCTCGTACAGAGTTAATATCTCACGGGCCTGGACCTTTCTCTGGAATTCAATCTCACGAAGTTTCTGTTGAAGATCTTCAATCTGACTGTGTAGCTCTCGAATATAGCGCTTGGAAGATGGTCTGAAGGCTAAATGTTATCATTTGTATAGAAAGCGTCTGCTAATGTGGGGTCGGACCTTTTTCGTTCATCAAACTCAGGTCCAGGGCATGAAATTCCCAGTCTTTTACATTTGTCACACCCGCCGTCTTCCGGTTGACACTATAAAGTAACGGTGTGTCAGCAACTCCCTTTTATATTGATCGTTATCAAACTCGCGAAAGGAAACACATTCTAGTATGATTGTGTTCCAGACCTTGATCTTTTTCACTCGACAATTCAGACAGGCCAGGGTGTAGCCCAAACCCGAGCGCTTCGCTGAGGACTGATTTGGCTGAGTTTCTTTCTCCATATGCAACGGATGATAACCATGAGATTGAAGTCCAGGTAGAACTCTCGTTCGCGGTTGCAAAGAGGGTGGGAAGAGAGGTCGTGAAAATTGTTCTTGAAGAGATTGGTGTCGAAGGAGCAGCGGCGAGGCCAATGTCTGTGGTACGGCCTGCAGCAGTTGCAGCTGAGAGCCAGCTTCTTGGTCTTCTTCCCATTTCAAGTTGTTGACATTGTTTTGAGGTGATGTGAGTGGGACAGAGTCGATATCTGGTACCATCTGCATGTATAATGGACAATGGAAGCTGGGGGTTTCCATCGCGATTGTCGAGAGATGGGCTAGCGAGGGTTTAGGTGGCGAGCAACTGGTTAGAATAAAGGTCGCCTCAAGGCCAAGTTAGCGACTTCGGGCGCTAAGGTCTGGGGAATATCATCCCATCAAATGCTCCACGCCTAACCTCGATAAATGAACCGCAGCAACCATATTAACGAGCAAAAATGTCCAGGAAGTCAAAAATTGGGTCTGACGGTGCAGCAGTGGAACCACCAGAGGTCAGGACGAGAGTCAAAAAACCCAACCGCCAACCATCTGAAGAAACAGGTCTGTGTGTTCAGTGCACGGAAGATATCAGCCAATCCATGGCTGTGGCGCATCCAAGAAGACCGCATGCTTATTAGTTCTTAATTTGAATTGGCAAAAAAAAAATCAAGACCAGCACCATTTGGGCGGGTTCCAGGGTCAGATCAAGCCCATAATATTAATAACGTAGTGTACGACAGCCTTGCATAATCTGGATGCCTGGGTCACCGATAATAAATTACTAGTTGTTTCTCTTAAAGCTGCCCAGAACTGATTCCGAGGTCCGCGCCTTAAATTTTGATTTGGAGGGGGAGCTCCAAGCTCCCGTTGAGTGGATGGGGGATCGACGGGTCAACTTGTTTTTCTCAAGAGGCTGTGGCTTGATCGTCCTATCAATGGCAGCATCGATACGGAGCACTATTGACAACGTAATTCGTCTGTGTCCTGCAACTTATTGGGAGCGCGCAAAAACTTCCCTGTATTGCTCTTTCATTCGGACTGATCCGCATTCTCAGTCAAAATCCACTTTCCCTCATAATAATAAAGTAAAACTCCTTTCCGCAGACAAATCAAGAGCGCGTCATCTGCTCCATTTGTCTGTCTCAACAATGTTACAAAGTTGATTTTGTGTTGATGTTGCAATAGACCCTATCTGAGACCCAGAGAGACAATACAACTTTAGAAACGCTCCTAGATGGTGCCTGAGTAGGCGACAACAATCAAACAGCTGGGTGTAAGCAGCTAAGCCCAAGGTACTGTAGTGGCGAAGCTGCAAGGGTCCTTGCGAAACATGCCCGACGTTCAGCAGTAATTAGATGCAGAAAACCGTATGATGCTTTCTCAGTGCCACTGAGATTACATAAAGCGTAACTACGTTTAACTAAGTTAGTTAACTAGTTAGTTAGTAAACTAGTACAACTTATTTCACCACTTCCTTGGCCACTTTGTACCATCCACACTAATTTAGTATGAGAGACTACCTCTAGGCAAGCAAGACAAACACAACTAGGTAATTCCCCATACTAAAATTGGTGTGGTATTACGAAGTGGCCGAGTAAATGGTGAAATACGTCGTGGAAAATCCCTTCAAAAGGGCGACGAACTAATTGGGTATAGCCTGGCCCTGGCTCTTCGTTTCGATTCTGCATCTCAAAAGTCATGACACATTATATGTCGTTGGATTTCCCAAAACTTGCTCTGGTTCTCTCTGGTCAGAGGGTGAAGAAAGTTCAGGAATGATTCTGGGCTGCTAGATGATTATCATAGTGTGATAAAACATGCTCTCCAATGTTTTCATGCATTGAACGATTACCTTAGCGCGGCAAGATATCCGGACAAAAGTCCAATGTTGAAACTATGAAACCGGAACATTAGATATTGCTGAGCACAGCACCCCTTCGCGAATCGGGAGATTAAACTCTCTTGGTTCTGGATTTATCGCATAGCCACGTTAGTTTTTTTTTTTTTCGACTCCACAAGTATAAAAAAGTCGTGGATGACAAGGGTTTCCATATTTGGATAGATAGAGAATATATGATTTCTAAATGGAACTGTGCTGATGCGCATCTTCCTCTGGGACATGATCATGATAAACTGAATATAATACGGAAGACACATAAAAGGCAGGCAATATATGATATGGTATCATCTCCGCATAGTTGGATCACGCATAGGCGCGGCCACCGGTTCCGTGTGGAAGATTTCGCAGTCTATCATTCGTGCAGTGGTCTTGAACAGTAAAACCAACCGATCAAGCTAATAATACGATTCCAAATGGGCCTCCGGTGCGGTCAACGAGATAAACCTGGGAGTAGGTTAGCCTATGCAAATACCAAATAATACTCCAGATTAACATCAAGATAGTTCCATCTGCTGTTCTTGGCCCTCCGAATGACTTTTAACGGGGTAGGCAGAAATCCACTGACTGCGGAGGCGGGGATCAATCGAAGAAGAGATATGTATGCAGCTTTGAGCCATCCAGTTTGGAAAAAGATCAATGTTGATTTTTCTTGTGGTTGTTTCTCCGACTTAATGGGCTTCAACCGGGATGCGTTAACTTATGATTTAGGTTCCGAATGGTCCGTTTCAACTCAACTTGCCTGACCACAACAAGCTTATTTTAACTTCAAACCACTTGGACATTTTTTTGCAATGCTGCCACTGGCGGCTCCAGGGAGTGGTCTCCATTGTGTCAGAACAAGAGACGGCTAATATCCCATACAGATGAGTTGAGACCTAGAAGCATGATGATTAGTGATCCGCTCCCTTGCAAAGCGACTTTAGAAGCAACTATTATCAGACACCTTCGCAGGTTTGAATTGTCGACATCCATCTCCTTCGCTTCAGTCTGTGGGCCAAACAAACGTGGATGTGTGTATTAGACTTGTGAGATTTCAAATGGTATGGTGAATGTACCCAAGTGGCCTGAATTGATACTATCAAACTTGGAAGCTGTCTTGAATTGTGTTATACATAACGTTGCCTGCGGGTGTTCGACTTCAGCCTTGTTGCGGACTGCTGCAACGAAAATGACAACACCAGTTGCGTATATAGAATGATAGTATTTTGTCGAATTTCTCCATTTTCCAAGCCCCAACCAACAAAGTTGCTTCGTGACTGGGCGCCGGGGAATTAGGGTGCCTTATGAACTTTCTGCATGTTTGATCTCCTTGCTGCCGTCTTCTTCTCGCGACAGGCAACTTCGGCCCCATACTGCGAACCACTGGCTAACTAGTCCTGACCACACCAGCCCCAACGTTTTCACGGACCCCCAAATTCAAGCTTTGGATCTAGATGAAACTCAAAGCGTTCTTAGACCTCCATTGGATGCAAGCAATATTAGGAAATTGATCACTATTAGTAACAATATTACTGCAGTTTTGCGTGTTGGGTGGGGGTTTCTTATGTCACCATTCCCTTTCTGAAACCTTTTTCACTCTGGCGCGTTTTCCCCGTTGCTGGCAATACCAACGTTGGGAGATAACAAAGCTCGGGTGCTTAAACTTTCAGTGGGACTTTTTTCTTTAAAAAAAAAGGGGGGGAGCAGAACTAGATCTTAAGTGGAGGGTCCACAGGGCAATCTTAATATTCGTGAGGTGAATTTGAATTTTCAACTAATACAAGAGGCGGGAAGCGTCCAATCATCACTAGCAATTCTCTATCGAGATACGAATAGAATTAGAATTAATGCACAGTGATTGTTTCATCCAACCAGACGTGGGGAATAGTTAAAGTATGCTTTTTAGGGACCTCCTCTTTCCATTTGGCAGTTTAGGTTAGAATTAATTAATTCCCCTAGTTCCGTCGTTTCCTTCCTGACATGAACATCGTTTTGAGGTTATTTATGCAGAAATACCAATAACACCTGGAAACCAACATCGAATTAGTTCAAGATCCCATACACATGTCTATCCGCAAAGAACTGGGAGATAAGATACATACCACAGGCGGGGCGGGGACCAGCGTTGCCGGTCTTTTTGGATTCTTCGTTTCCACCCCTTCCAAGGTCATCAGTGCCAGCGTGGACGACGACAGTGCGCTGTTGAAAGCAAAAGCAATTGCTGGTTAGTATATCTATTCACCATTTTACTTATTTATATATATATATATATATACATATATATTTGATCTGCCCGGTATGGAAATCTGGTATAGTGGCTTGACTTACTCCAAGCACACTGTGTTCGCCAATGAGCTTGATGAAGATATCCTCCATGGTGCCAGAAGCATTTCCCTGAGCGTCAGTGGTAATGTTTCCTAGGTCTCCAACATGGCGCTCAGCATCGGAGGGAGAACCGTGGGTTTTGCCGAACGGGTTGACTATTGGTGTAGCCGAAATTAGCTTTTGGAAAAGTGGATTTATAGATTCATGCATCCGGTGGAGAGCAAAGGGAAGCAAATGGCACCTACAGTGAGGGCCGGCAGATGTGCAGCCATTGGTATTGTCACCAAACTGGTGGATGTGAAAGCCGCGAAGGGCATTTGGGTCGTTGCCAGAAAGGTTGTATGTGATGACGGTTGTGGAAGACTCCGAAGCCTGCTCGAAGACTACAGTGCCCTTGACATTGGAGTCACCTCGGAGAACAGCGACTGTCAAGGAGAAGGCCCCGTTTGGAGGTTAATGAGTCAACTTTATTGTAGAGAGAGCCAAAGAAAGAGAAAGGAAGAAAGAAAAAAAACAAAAAAAAAAAAAAAAACAAAAGGGAGCGCATGGCTGAAACCACAGGAATGAGGGCATGGGTTCTGCTTGGGAAATATGCTCATCAGGGCGTGATCCAGATAACTGTTTCTGGTCTGGAACCAAAGGACCTTGGATGAAAATGCAAGACTGTTCGATCAGATGATTGGGTTGGATTCTAATGGATGGATGGCAGAGCGCCAGGTCCAGTAGCCAGAGTGAATGGCGGAATGAATAGCCGAGCACAAAGAAATGTAAACAAGACAACCTACCGGCCTTGACCATTTTGGCAAAATAGTAGATGGTATCGGAAATTGGAAAGGATATCGGTTGGCTGTGAGAGAGAAGGAGACGGTTGATGAGAAGATGGAGAGTTAAGAAGAATTGGCCTCGGAGAAAATCACACCCCGCCCCCCAACAACGACTCGTTAACTAACTAAGCGGTGGTTTGTTGAGGTCACACAGGCCCGGGAAGGTGAGGGGCATAGCTGACTCATCCCCCGCCCTCCCGAGATCCCGGACGAGGAACGACGGTGGGATGACGTAACTAGTTCCACGTGCTATGCTTTATCAGCACCCAGGCCTTGGCAAGCCGACTGAGTCAAACGCTCTTGGATGAAAACAACAACCTCCAAGAACGTCTGCAGACTTCAACGCTCCACTCAACCTGCTGTCTGTCTGTGTCTGCTCTGTTGTTATATACATATTTTGCAGAGCCATTCGAGTTTGGAATAAAGCACAGCAATGCTGATCCATGCCCGCATGCCGGAAACATCCATCTTGGATCCATTTGAAGATATTTTGAGCTACATCTCGGCCGATCACACCTTGGTTTGACCAAGTCCTGCTTCAATGCATGCTCGAGACACTCTGTCACCAGGCCCCTAAGGCACCTCTGTGCAGAAGTGGAACACTTTCCGAAATGGAAATAGTTACTGGTTGACAGCTGACTCATTTGGAGGTTCCCAGGCCCTTCCCAGGTCCCAGCTTTGAAGTATGCATGATGTTTCCATGGTGCAAATGTTTGGCACTATGTGGGTTTTATCAATTTCGTCTCATGTGACTGTGAGTTCATAGGTTGAGATGAAGAATGAATTGGGGCGCAAACATCCCCTGTGGCGGGAAACCAAGCCCCGCGCCCTAGTGAGAAGTTTTCAAATCAACAAACCATTTTTTTAAATTTAAATGCGGATAGATTTGATTTGATTTTTTTTTGGATTTTGATTTTTTTCTCCATTCAATTCTCTATATTTGGGATGACGAGAAAACACCATGCACGTCAAATTCGTATTTAATATCACCAATAACGTGGTCTGATCGTGATGACTCCTTCAAAGGCCAGAATACGACCGCCGTGTTGCTAGGGACATCTTGTTTGTAACAAACCTTCGTGCCACTGTGTCACAATGATAGCTTTTGATGCAAATAAGGCCAAAAGCTCTGATGAGGACAACACATAGTTATTATTATCATGATTCTCATACCCCTTCTGGGCACATTACATCATTTATTGCCACGATCAGGCAGAAACGATTTCGATGTTTATCGCGATGTGTTTTGCGCCCGATATGATGAGAATTTCTCCAATTGACGGTTCCACGAAGTGGCTCAAGGCTGGTGTTGGGATACCGTAACATCCCTGCAGTTGGGGAACAATAGGATTTTTCCTTCCGGTTTTTCTCAGCGGGGTTGTTGAATCCTGCGATTGGCTGGCATCTCCCCCCGACCTTGGGTCGATTTGAAGAGAATGACATCCGCGAGATTGATGCGCTGATGGATAACTACCCGCCCAGGTGGAATTGCCTGCACACACCAAACCAACAAAATTGCCTTAGTTCCCCCCTTATATTTAACTTTTGCGCTTATCCCAGTACTGCTAGACTGATTCTTACCCCTCTTGTTTCTATTACATCGATTCCTTGGGAATCTTTCGCTTTTGTCAACATCTTCTATCTTTGTGCTTTCCGAAATGAGTGAGTTTGACTCTCCTCAGGTCTTAGACTGGGAGGACGACCTGCCAGACAATGTTTGTTTTCGCCTCCCGGGCTTTACACTCCCCCTTAACTGGGAACCAACACCGTCGGGCACGCCCGGTTCAACGCCGCGTGCCAGCATTGATGGAAGACCGTCAGGGCTTCGTATCCTTCACATCCAAGGCATCCCGCGCGGGAGATTCCCCAGCGCATTGAGCTATCAGGATGCTCTTGATGATACCTTGAGGTAATGGCATTTCCCTGTTGGGGGGGGAGACAGTTGTTGACTTGGCAGATACCCAGCCTTAACGATTCGAGAGAATAAGATGGTCCATATTATGAATGAGATCACAGATAGACTTAACTGGAATGTAAAGGTTGTAGTTTTTCTGTTCACTGACATTTCTCGGATGTTAACACACCCAAAAATCATTTTTTGTGAGATATATTTCGTCATGATCTTGTCTTTCAATACCTGTGCCACCCATCCGCCCCAGCCTCTCCTAGCCATTAGTTGGGATTACACAATGGACAAATCCTTATTTATTTTTACTATTAGGTATCCGACGATGGCGTTGTTGATAAGTGGCACAAGGAAATGCTGTCAGGAGAATATGGCATTTCTGAAGCCATGGCGAAGTGGGTAATTGATGAACTTCGTTACAAAACAAGGATTTTCCACGAATATGGGCTTGTGGATGTATTCAATGGAGGAGTGGTAAAATCCGACACTGCTGTACCGATATCTGTCAACCAGTCGTTGAGAACGGGGGTTCGCAAACTTGAAGATGTGCCCGAGAATCTCAAGGATTATCATCCTTCAACAGATAAAAAGGTCCTCGGTCTAGTTCACCCATCGCTTTTCCCCCTGGTGTATGGCCGGTCACGTATCTTAAAGGAGAAGATATTAGGACTTGATGATTGCATTCCCAGCAGCGGCCTAGGAGAAACACTTCCAGTTCCGCGTAGCAAATACACGGTGTTTGACGAAAAGCTGGATAGCCATTCCGGATGGGCAGGTAAATTTTGGGAAGATAGGATATACAGTCAAAAGTTCCAATGGCTACCTTGTAATGTTACATTTTTTGACGAGAAGGGCTCTTATCTCTCCTTGGATCCTAAGGACCCATCCAAAGTTGCCGCAACATCTGTTGCTCCGCCTTGTCGGATAACAAGCTACATCAACAACCTCCACCCTAACAAACATCGAGATTTATACGGAACGATTGAGCAGGTGGTTTCCCGAGCAATACCGTTATGGAATAGAACTTTGTCGTCTCTGAGCGCCGAATACACTCGACGGATTAACTACGATATATGCATCAAGGAAAGCTCGCACAGATCCCCCGGTCAAGATGGAGATGGATTCAAAAAACCGAAACGATCAGTGACCAAATCGGGATACGTATTACCCGAACCTAGAAGGTTTGGGCCGACAATGACACCGTCACTGTCCCCTGGGTCAGTTGATCTAAAAAAGCAATACGGCAACACCGGTTTTCAAGTGATAGTAAAACTTGAAAATATCCATCTTACCCCCGAGAAACCCAAATATGACGGCGTCTCCTGGCATGTTGAGGGTCAGCTTGTAAGTTCTATCTAAACAGAATCCCAGGTAGGGCATCCAACATCTACCGGCATCAATTCCTCACACACTACAGAATGAACACATCTGCGCAACCGCCCTCTACTACTACGATAACCACAACATCACAACTAGCTACATCAGCTTCCGTCAACAATGCGATACGAACCCACACATTAAAGACACCCGCGGTGAAGACCCAAACACATTCCTCCCTGAAATCTTCGGCAAACAGACCTTATCCTCCGCCACCCAAATCCCCGGTAGCGTCCAGTGCTCCGAAGGCCGCCTCCTAACCTTCCCCAACACGCTTCAGCACCGTGTGGAACCCTTCGAGCTGGTCGATAAGACACGACCAGGTCACTGTAAGATCCTCTCCCTTTTCCTTGTGGACCCGCACATCCGCATCATTTCGACAGCAAATATTCCCCCGCAGCGCCGCGATTGGTGGACAGAGCATCTCGAGTCGACGGGGGCGTTGAAGAAGTTACCGAAGGAGTTGGTGGATATGGTTTTTGGCAGTGATATCAATTTTCCGTTTAGCATGGAGGAGGCTAAGCGGTTGCGAGTGGAATTGATGTCGGAAATGGCGGCCAGGGCTACAGAGCAGGATAGTCATTTTAGGTATAGGGAGTTTTCGGTTGTTAAGCGGTAGATCGGGCATGTCGGTTTTGGGTACTGGAATTTTGCTCATGGTGCTTCAATTTTGCTGCAAATGGCCCTTTTTTTCCCCCCCCCTCGCTGTGTAGCTAAGTGCGTTTGAGCAGTGTTGTTTATCTTTCGGTTCCTTTGATTTAACCTTCTTCAGGATACTAATTAATTACTGCTTGTGTCATTTACGCGCGCTCACTACTTGCCAGACGAAGCAGACGGGAATATATGGACGACAGAGACAGGAGTTAGGATTATATACCTATTGGTAGTTGGCAATTTGTTAGATAGCAGGTCTATGGAATATTCTGTTCTACCTCCTTGCAAGGATGTTTGCCTTTGCCTTGTGCATTAACTATACTACCTAAGGATGTTCAAAATGATCGCATTCCTCTCATCCCTGCCCCTTTCCTGAGGAAGATGTGTGCAACCACAAAGACACGGAAGAACCGCCTCCCACACCGCCTCCTACATCTCCCTCTAGTATTTACCAGAGCCTTCTTTTATTCAGCTCTCCGTTCTCGGGTCCTTTCCCGCTTCAACTCCTCTGGGAAAAAGTGTGTGTTTGAATTGTCCCTCGTTCTTCAAATACCTTCATAAAAATTCTCCGTGAGCTGGCGAGATAGTAGCTCAAACTAGAGATCGGTGAAGGAGGTGGAAAGGATGGGCTAGAGAGGGGAGGAATGGTGAGAGAGAGGAACAGTTAACGCCATGTACGTAAGTGGAAAAGGTGTATCCAGGTAGCTATCTATCATGGTATAGGGACAGTAACTGCGGAGTTGGAAGGAGATAAGAGTCAAATTCTGCTGGGTAGTTCTCCATATACAGGATAACTTCAGATGCAAATCTCAACACGTACCAGGGTGGATAGCTAATTACCTGCGTAAATTTTGCATTGTAATAATAATAATGATAATAAAAAATCCGATGTCAATTTTTACTTTGCCCCTGCGCATTAAAAAGGAATAAGCCATAAACGGTACCCAAACCCCCAAAATTGCCGTTCGTGGAAATCGTTTTATGTTATTTCGGATATTAAGAATAATGCAAATTGAAAAGACGACACAGAAGCCACTGCTCAATTTATAGCCAACGTGGAATCTTGATGTCATTTGGGAAACAATTTCTCAGTTTTTTTCTTTTCCTTTGGCTATATATGGTATCATTGTCACTCGTCAAAGATTAATTATGCGGCAATCTTCTCTTTAAGAATCTTTTTTAGCGTGACTGCATCAGCAGCGAATTTGGAGATGCCCTCCCGCAGCTTCTCGACGGCCATTTGATCTTCGTTGAAGTCGAAACGGAAGAGAGCCTCGTCATTGATGTAGGTGCGCTTGGGAATATCAAGGGCAGCAGCCTTGGATGCGTCGAGTTTCTTGGGAACAGGGGCGGTGGAGTTGTACAGTTCTTCGAGGAGGTTGGGCTAGCAGATGTCAGTCATCACGCTTATTCTTGGGGGTAGATGTTTATATGTAACGAGAGGGGGTTAAGATGACGTACCGAAATGGTCAGATAGTCGCATCCAGCCAATTCGGTGATTTCTCCAGCGTTTCGAAAAGAGGCACCCATGACAATAGTCTTGTATCCGTGCTTCTTGTAGTAGTTGAAGATGCTCTGCACGCTTTTCACACCAGGGTCTTCCTCGGGGGTGAAATCTTTCTTCATGGCAGCTTTGTACCAGTCGAGGATTCGGCCAACGAAGGGGGAGATGAGGAAGGCACCAGCTTCAGCAGCAGCAATGGCCTGGACTAGAGAGAACATCAATGTCAAGTTACAGTTAACGCCATGTTGTGATTGGAGGATATGAGCTGCTTGGATGCCCTCCCATGTCGAGGCGACCTTGATCAGAATTCGCTCCTTGGGAATGCCAACGGATTTGTAAAGCTATTTTTGCATGTGTCAATAAGGTGAACATTGAAACTAATTAAGAGATTGTTGACCATATAGACATGTATACCTCGATGATGTGAAGAGCCTTGTTGACGGAAGCTTTGGTATCAAAGGAGAAGCGCGCATCGACTTCAGTCGAGACTTTGCCGGGGATTATCTGCAAGATCTCCTTGCCAAACTCAACCAGAAGCCGATCGAGACTGGCATCAACTTTCTCTTCAAGAGTCTTGCCCTATATTTATTTTCCATCCCTATCAGCTCTTCCAGCTCTGAGCATTTAGACACATCACCCTACGTGGGATTCTCGCCACGTACTTGTACCTTCCCATACTCAATTGCAGAATCAATCAACTTGGCGTACTCTGGTTTCTTCGAAGCGGCAAGGATCAGTGAAGGATTGGTAGTCGCATCCTGAGGCTTGTACTTGTCGATAGCTGTTTCAAGACGTCAGAGCAAAGGTCCATGGCTCCTGGAAAGGGGCAGATATTGTCAAAAACCAAAAAGCAGGGTGGTGACACATACTTGCAAAGTCACCTAGATTGCGGGAAATTCTATATCAGCTATTATTCCATGGCTTCAGTTGAATTTAACAGAGAAGATTGGAGATTGAGATGACGGCATACCAGAATCGCAGACGACGGTCTGTACAGCAGTGCATAGAGGACAAAGTCAGTTTCCACGCAGTCTCTTCAATCATCTGTCTAGAACTTGTGGGAATAAACAGAGTGGCGATAAGCAACTCACCGTGCCAGTGGCCTTTAACTGATCGAGGGCGGAAGGCATGGTTGATGAGGAGTATGTGTATATATGATTGGAGAGAGATGGATGGAAGTTGAAGGTATATCAAGAGAGAGATGGAGATGTGTGTAGACCGGTCTTCTAATAAACCGGCTAAAAGAATCCAGACAGATTAATTTATCCGACAGTTGTAGGTGTAATAAAGAAAAAAAAAAAAAAAAAACGAATCTTGTAGTTGAATAATTAGTCTCAAGTATGTGGCGGTTCTGCGATCGGTTGCAATGGTGGGGCAACGGGGACCGAGTACCTGTGACTTATATTTGCTGAGGCCATCGGCAGGGATACAAGTACCTAGTACACTCCATCCACCCAGTTCACACGGTCGACACTTCCGGCACGTGACCTATTTTCCACCCGTATATAAGTCGTTCTCGTAGTTTGCTAGCAACCTTTGCAATCAATCAAGCTTGCCATTCTGTCAACTGTCAATTCCGGGTTTAGGACAAAATGACAAAGATTGAGGTCAGGATTGAGAGACATATATTCAAACACTCAGGGTCTGGAGTTACAAGCAGTTATAGAGAATATACAATTTTACACTGTAAGCTACCCATGTATGCCGTCCCGAGTCTAGTACAATGACACAAGAAAATACGGATCCTTTGGAATTTTCTTTAGATATCTTCACCACCATAGCCTGTGGAACGGCTGTCAGGAAAAGGGTCGAGGGAAAAGAGACGAATAAAAGCACCAGGCAGAGTAACCTTGCACAATGACAAATCATCTCCTTTGCCATTTGGCTATTCTGCTATTCTGTGGCTGCTGCTGAGGTTGTGCCGAATTAATTGGAACATCGCAAGTGGGTGTGGGTTAAGTTTGCCTTTATTTTATACCTGATTGTTGTTGTCCAGTGCATTGCATTATATCCTAGTCCAAGAATGCTTTCCAGAACTGGCTTCTTTCTCCCCCTCGATTTGTTACATCATTGCACTGGGAAAAGGATACCCGTTCCAAACGTAGATCCGGCGTGTGAAAGGAAAACGAACGAGGGTGGGGGTGGATTGAATGTCAAAACATAACCCCCCACTTGAGAAGAGCAATGAACAATGGCAGGTATAAGGAAGAAGTGGGAACATTGATACTTTGGAGTAAATCACCACAAGTAAACGAGGAGAAAAATGTGGAGAGAAAAAAGTAGGGAAAAAAAAAAACAGTATATATACATTCCCACAGAGCCTGTAAATACCATAACTTTCTGTCTACTAATAAACTATCCACGAGGAAAAAACAAAACGGGTTGAGAAAAGAGAAGAAACACCAAAAATGTAGGGACAGACATACATAACACAGCATAGCGTGCCTCATAAAAGCATCACTTTTTTCCGTCGAAAAGTCTAGTGTGCTCCCATCAAATCATAAGCATGTCCCATCCATGTGGCAATAGAGGTCAATCTTGTGGATAGGATGGATATATACGACATCATATATATATGTATCAATGGCGCTGGATGCAATCCCATTCATACTGTTTTAAGATAACCATCAACTTGCTGTGCCATGCGCCAGGAAAATTCCGTAGGAATAAGATTGGAAATTAAACTTACCACCCGCCCTAGCTCATCTCCGGTGTAAACGCTCTGTGCCAGGGGCAAAATACAACTGATACCCGCAGAAACGTTGCTGGCCCAGTCCCCCCGCGTGTTGTCTACATGGTGTAGCTGGCGGATTAGATCGAGTTCGAATCGGCCGTTCCGAATTGTTTTACTCCAGATCTAATAGAAGTCATGAGTAATGTGGAAAAAAGCCATGGGGATAACAGAGATGTGGAATGTAGGCACAACGCAAAGCTCAACTGCGATAAAAACTTACATTTACGAGTCCGCGCTTGTGTCCTGTGAATAATAGCTCTCGTTCCAGCCATTCATTGCTAACACCCTCGTAAAAAGCGCAGGATAGTATGCTGTCATCAGTATGTTCGCATACAGCTTGGTCAACCAGCAATGACCCGTTTAGAGTGTATAGACTAATGCGATTCCCACGACAGACGAGGATATTCCCGGTTGCATCGTTGATACGGGCACACTATTTCATCGGTTGGTCAGATAAACCCTCTGATTGACATATGGAGATTTCATTGGAATTAGACAAACTTACATCCACAGGGTCTCCTTCGGGTAACGACCGCACAAATTCCAATCGATTCAGATCCCAGAGCATTATCTTTCCATCCTTTGACGCTGACAATACAGTGCTAAAGGACCTTGAGACTGCAAGAGTAGTAACCAGCGATCTGTGACCGAATAAGGTAGCCTTCGGATGGAGATCTGCCGTTTTGGATGTCGATGTGAATGACCAGACTGAGACGGTGCAATCGGT